ATGGATATTTCATACAGATAGTAGATTAAACGTTCTTAGTTAAAAGTTTTGCTTTTTCAAGTTGCCTTTATGGAAATGTAGCTAACATACGACGTCATGTGACATCACAGTCTACGTTCTAAATGCTTATGCGGTCTGAAGAGACGGATCTTAACCCCCAATGGTTTCAACATATTAGATAAATCATTTGAAATGGTTTTTAAATGTGTAATTCAGACTGCAAATGTCTAGAGTAACGTGAAAAATTCACTCCCGGTTGCGCGTTTTTCTGTCTTCAAAATGAGAGGTTGTCTGAGCGAGATTTCGGAAACGGTAAGAGATTAAGGCACCAAACTTACATGAGTAGTAGACCTTGAGGAGTAGGTGAAATCATGGGGTTAAACGCGTCAGTCGTCACTTTCGGTCGTCACAGGAAGTAATCAAAGAAATAAAAAAAAAATTAACTTTTCTTTTTTAATTAAAAGCTTGTATCACTTTACTGCATCTCTTTCACTGTTTTGAAATATGTTAGATTCCACAGGAAACAAAAAATCGTCAACTTCCGGTTTTAAGAGATAAACTATATTATTTCTTTATTTAACTTTCTCATAAATATCGCTTATCGATAAAGTATTTGAAATGTTTTTATATATGTCGTAGAAACTGCAAATGTATGGAGAAACGACAGAGATTTTTATAAAATTCACTTCAGGAGGCATGCTTTTCTGTTTCCAAAATGAGATTTTGTTCATGCAATTGCTCGGCAACAGTACAAGACTGAAGTCTAAGACTAAGGACTGATAATCAGTCATAATTTTATTTGCATCGTGTGAAAATCATTTGTCGCCTTCACTTCCGGTCGTGACAGGAAGTGATGCAAAAAGATTTTTTCATTTTTTTTTTTTTTTGGTTTCTAGCGAAGCTTTAGGCTAATGCATACGTTATCCTTGCAAACTTTTTCCGATGGAAGTGTCGGTCAAAAAGCCAGAAGTTGTCTAAAACATGAGTATTTCATTATGGACACTTGTAGGGATGATCAGCTGTAGATAATTTAGGTGCAGAATAAATTTTTTATTCGTTTGGAGCACTTCCGGTCATGACAGGAAGTAAAAATAAAAAAAACCAGGTACATGTAATTTGGAAATAAAGATATTCCATTTGTTTTTATCTTTATTAAAATATCCTTGGAAAGTTTGAGATGACCTCTATCAAGCATTATAATTGATAAGATAGTTTTTAGAGGAGTCAATAAAACGGTACGGAAGACCTGTTATTGCCCAGGAAATGAGTCTCTAGTTGTTATTATTTTCTCCCTTTTCTTGTCGGCAAGATTTCTCAGAGTTGGATAGGTGGATTTTTTTGAAATTTTTAAGAATGATAGGGCATGAAAATACCCCTAGATTTTTTTCCCCTATTTTTTTTCGAAATTCACTTCCGTTCGTCAGATATGTCTGATTTCGTTTTTTTTTTTTCAAAATATTTTGTCTGAGTGAGATCTCAGAAACGATAAGAGATTAAGACACCAAACATTTACGAGTAAAAGAGCTTAAGAAGTAGGCAAATCCATTTGAGTTTAAAGCGTCAGCCGTCACTTACGTTCCTTACAGAAAGTGATAAAAAATCGAAAATTTCAACTATTCATCTTTTAAATTAAATCTTGCATAGCATTATTGCATCTCTTTTGCAGTTTCGGAAACAAAAACGTCAACTTCCGGTTACATGCGAAAAACTTCATAATTTGATTATTGAACTTTCCCATAAATATTGCTAATAGATAAAGTATTTCAAATGGTTTTTATATATGATATTCAGACTGCAAATTTCTAGGTTAATCTTAAATATCTTTTTAAAATTCACTTCCGGTCGCGTGTTTTCCTGTCCGTAAAATGAAAACTTGCTCGACAGAGATCTCAGAAAAGGTAAAATATTAAGACACCAAAATTATATGAGAAATAGAACTAAGGAGGAGGCAAAACTATTTGGGTTAAGCGCGTCAGCCATCACTTCCGGTCGTCAAAGGAAGTGATAAAAAAAATCGAAATTTCAACTTTTTTTGAAATGAAGCTTGCATCATATAATTGTATCTCCTTCACAGCTTCAGTATGTGTTGATCACAAAGGAAACAACAAACGACAACTTCCGGTTATAAAAGAAAATCTACGTAATTGGGATTTTTAGTTTTCCCATAAATATTGCTCATTGATAAAGTTTTTGAAATGATTTTTCATATGTTATTGGGATTGCAATTGTCTAGAATGAGGTCAACCATCTTTGTAAAATTCACTTCCGGTCTCGTGTTTTTCTGTTCTCAGATTGAGATTTTGCTCACCTAATTGCTCAGGAACAGTACATGATTGAAGTCTAAAACTTTCGGAACTTATAGCCAGGCCTCAGTTTATTTACATCATGTGAAGGTCGTACGTACGTTGCCGTCACTTCCATGCATGCCAGGAAGCGATGCAAAAAAGCGAATTTTTCTTTTTTTTCTTTTTATAGAAATGTTTGGCAAATGCAGATGTTAAATAAACCATGCCCATGCAAATTATTTTCACCGGAAGTGCGGACCGAAAAACCGGAAGATATCTCAAACTTGAGTAACTTTTAGGGATTATCAGGAAGCGACCAATGATACTGGTGTCTGGTGACGATGATGGACTAGCTTATTTCCTAGAACCCAACAGTAACAATTCCCTGAGTTGGACTTATACAAAAACACGTTCCATGCCCCCAAATTAAGATTATTAAATTGAACATTTATGTAAAGATTGTCTATCATAGAACTATAGTCAGTAATTACACGCGTGGGCAAGTATCCAGGAACAAAATTTTCGTACATAAAAGACTGTAACAATGCAGTAGCTCGCGCATCAATTTTGAGATAAACTTTTCTCATATGAGGCTTTCATGCAAATTAGATCCAAGTTAACCTCTAAGAATTCCTTATGAGGTGTAGGTTTTGTATGGCAAATGTAGGTACTTCAGAGTAATCCATCTTTGGCCCATACCAACTTTCTATCTTAGGATTTGTGATTATTCAAACATTCTAGAATTGTCTTTCCATGTGTTTGCTTAATGGGTTCATAATCAAGTCTTCAGTCTACCCATCACTGTTTTCAATTGAAAAGGGTCACCCACAGCAAAAATACCTAGATCTTCAAAAAGTTTCCTGCCTCTTGTTATTTCTTGTAATGAAATGTATGGAGATATCGAACAGTATTCAAGCTCAGAAGTCCATTAAACAATACAAATTTGGAGCAGAGCAAACACGGACCTCTAAAACATAGGAGGTGGGATCAGATGCCATGGAGGAGTGAGCATCTCCTGCCGACCGGTAACACCCGCCGTGTACCATGTGATCTGAGGATTATGAAATTAAATATACCACATCCAACTATGGAAATTTCTTTAATGAAAATAACTTTCGAAAGCAAATACTTTGTTCTAAAGAAGCTTAACTGCAGCATTTCCAATGGTTTATACTTTCATTCTCAACCTATAGATAAGCATAGAGCTGCATGTATGGTTAACCCATATATGTTATACTAGTACTAAAGCTGCTTTTCCTGTAGGACTACAGAGCAAGACATACAGATTGTCTGGTGTATTGTGCAATTTGCCTGATAAGTATTTGAACAAGGTGTGATATAATTGATACCAAGCTTTTTTGAGAACACTTTCCCACACTACAGCTCTTTAACTGAGAAATACGGATAATGGTTCAGAACAAATGTTTAAACTGTGCAAGACATGATACATAAATTGTGAAGTACATCAGCAATAAAAATGTTTCACTTTTTGTTAATGTTGAGAAGTGATTGTGTGTACAGATTTTGTATGATAAAAAAAAAAAAACAACAAGATAATTGTGTGGAGAAAAAAAATGCACATTGACCTAGAAAATTATAGTTATTTAGTGAGAATATTTATAATTTTGAAGTGTAAAAAATATGTTCAAATGAACTGAAAGAAATAAAATTATTGCAAGAAATTTATACATGAACTGTCATAGAAATGTTTGATTTTTATTTTGGGGTGATTTAAAAAAAATTGTAGTTATAATTTAGGATATAATGATACTGTGGGAGTACCCTACAGCTTTTCAAAACAGTTTTTGCTCAAAAAATTTTACAGTTCACTATGAAATTCTTCCCTTAAAGTATGGCATGATTTTTAACATCTTGATTTTTCTATTAATCGCATTTTCTTTAGTTTACCATCTGTCCCTAGTAGAGTCAAGGTTGACTCGTGTGAGCAAAAATTTTAAAATGTATTTTTAAAATGAATCTGAAAAAAAGGGTTAGGATGGTTTATTAAACCTCATTGTCGCTAACTACAAAGGGAATTCTTTAACACTTTTTTAAAGAGGAGAGGAATGTTTTTGTCCTTAACTTGTGTATATAGTTTAAGTCTTTATTTTTGCACTGTGAAAATAGCATTTTGATACTTAAATTTTTACACCTGTTAAATTTTTAGTTTTTAAATTACAGGACTTTATTGTTAAAAATGTAACCAATGTAACCAATTATCATTATTTCATATGTTTATAACACACTTCTGTAAGAAATGAATAAACATCGATATATTAATATAATAATCATACATGTATCTAAAATGCATAAAATAGCACCATTTTTTATCAATTTGTGCAATATCACGTCACCGTAAACCAATATAAAAAGCAGAAACTATAAACCGTTACGTTTCTTATGTTCATTTATCCAAAAAAAAAAAAAAACAAACAAACAAACAAAACAAAACAAAACAAAAAAAAGACCCCCCCCCCAAAAAAAAAAAAACCAAACAAAAAACAAACAAACAAACACAAAACAAAACAAAAATTTAAAAAAAACATATTGATTATATGTTTTACCTCGATAAAAGGTTTGTTTTAATATTTTTTTTACCTAAGTGCAAATCAAAGTGTTACATGAAAATGAAACTCTTCTAAGTCGCAGTTTGCAAATTATTCATTCAGATTAATTATAATTAAATAGAAAACCTTTTTTATTTTTCTTTTAAAGGTTGTGATCGAGGTATTGGCTATATATTGGCAAAGCAACTGGACAGAGTGGGCTTTCATGTGTTTGCTGGCTGTCTTCAGGATAAGGAAAAGGGAAGCAAGGAACTGAGGTCATCTTGCTCAAACAGACTACAGACAGTACAACTGGATGTAAGCAAAATTTGGGAGGTCAAGTCAGCTCTTCAACTTGTGCAGCAACAGATCGCGACAAGAGGTACTGTACTTTTACAAATGTTAAAAACAAAATTTTAAAACTTTATCTGCATAATTCAGTTTTACCAAATTTGAAAATTATGACAGTTATTTATTTCATTTATCTAAATCAAAGGAATTCAGCTGTGGGGAATTGTAAATAATGCTGGAATATGTTATGTTGGTAATGTGGAAATGATGACAGAAGCTGACATGCAGAAAATTATGTCAGTTAACTACATGGGTCCAGTGAATGTCTGCAAATTTTTTCTACCCCTCCTGCGAAGAAGTCATGGTCGGCTTGTCAATATTGCCAGCAATGCAGGTAATTTTAAGTTTTTTAGAAAATTATTAATAGCATTTCTTTTGTAGTTGTTTGTATACCTTATGTATCATGTCATCTGTTTCACACTATCTTTTCATTTATTCATGTAACATACTCTTTACGTCTACTGTGTATGGTAAGTAAAAATTTATCTATAAAAGATATGATAACTGTCATTCTGATTTTGTGGTTATGATTTTAGAATAACTTTCTCTGGGTGAAGTCTTTTTTTTTATAAACGCTAAAAATTGGTCGAATTGAATAACTCATCTTAAACAGGGCTAAGTGTACAGCTAGGGAGTTTTATTACTGGTTTAAAAAATCGACTTTTTATAAATAAAGTTAGCAAGTGAATGCTTTCGTTTTATTCTAAACACTTCAATATCACCAGAATAAAATAACGTAAAATAAAAGTTGCATAAAAATCTTTATTATTTTGAGCACACAAGTTATCAAAAAGTTTATGGAGTAGTGCCATAAAATTAAAACCGTTTTAGGTACATCAATGATTTTTTTCACGTTTAGTTAACATAATCTTTTCTATCTATAGAATAAACCATCGATCATAAGTTACCAATGTGAATTCTTTTGATAAATTAACTCATTTATAGAACCCTTCATTCCATAACATTTCTGTGTACATTCACGACCCAAATCACAATTATTGTAATATCGCAGCATTTCTAAGAAACCGCCTTCACTCTATTTTAACAAGCTAATTAGAGAATTTGTGTCCCCCGCTTAGGGATAAAAGAAGAGCATGCCCAGTTGGGGGGGGGGGGGGGTCACACTGCCCCCCTGTATTTTTAGAATTATTAAATGTATACATGTATATTGCAGCAAATTTAAAAAAAGCCAATATGGATGTAAAGATTTGATTGCTTATTCTTTAATATGTGTACATAGAAGATTCTTTTTAATATATACAGAATATTTATCACACTGTAATAATGATTTTATGAGTTTGTACACCCCAGACATCTTAACTTTTTCATTTCACATGTTGAATAGTATCATTAAGTAAATCCAAAAAAAGAAAAAAAGAAGAAAAAAACATTTAAAAAAGAAAGAGAATCGTCCGGGGATTGAACCCTGGCCTCTCGCTTGCTAAGCGAGCATCATACAATTAGACCACAGAGACACTTGAATATACAAGAAATTAAATGCAAACATTAAGTCACATATAATATTTATTTTCACATTCGATATTGTCAAAATTTTAATCAATACATGGTGTCATATTTAGCCTTTACTAAACAGTTCTAATATATGTAATTAGAATATAAAGTCCGCCGACAACCTGTATTATACGTAATTATTATAACACTCCACATGCCCCTGTGCTAAAAATAGTGCCAATCGACTTTTAATACAATAAATAAATAAAATAAAATACGGGGTGCGTAGTTAGAATAATCTAAATGTGTCTCCGGATGTCCCTCACCACAGTTAGAATGCCCCCCCCCCCCCTATACCCGTAATGTAGCAGAAAATTGCAGAATCGCTCCGAAACGATTTTGGAGAAAATTAATGAAGTTGCATTGATAATAACAGTCAAATTAATCATAACAAACCTTTTTGAGACTGTAAATACCTTTCATCTAAAAATTTAATCCATATTATGGAAGAATTCAACACTTTTTCACCGACGTTTTTTACTCGTTTCAAATTTACACACAATGTTGACATTCGGAACACTCGGGATTTTTCATAGTAAATGAACTGAGTTAGAGTTATCTCCCGTATATCTCTCGTATTTTCTTCTGCTACATTGACAACACACAAAACGCATTCTATCGTTAAACCGGGTCCGTAGGACATTTATCATTTTCTGTCTAGGGGTGGGACACTTCGAAAGGGGCGAGAGAGGCTATAGGGAATTATGGTATAAAATTTCATTGCAAAAGCTCAAAAGTTTCTTGAGATATGGCCCGGAAACAAAAGTGTTACACACAGACGGAATTTATGAATTTATGACCTTGAACTTTGACCTTTTGACCTCAAAATCTAAAAAGGTCTTCCTTAGGCCACAGGGAGTTGTCATGTAAAATTTCATTACAAAAGCTCAAAGAATTCGCGAGATATCGCGCGGAAACGAAAGTGTTAAAACAGACAGAATTTATGAAGTTATGACCTTGACCTTCGACCTTTTGACCTCAAAATCAATACAGTTCTTCTTTAGGCGATAGGGAGTTGCTATGCAAAATTTCATTGCGAAAGCTCAAAGGGTTCTCGAGATATCGCGCGGAAACGAAAGTGTTACAGACAGACAGAAATACAGACGGACGGACGGACAGACAGACCAAAATTAATATCCCCCACTTTCAGTGAAAGCGGGGGACAATAAACAACAAAACACTAAGGTATGTTGAAATTTGCCATAATGTGACTTCAATTATTGAAAGTAATTGTAATTAATTATTTAATAATTGGTAATGAAATCCATAAAACTATTAATTGTCTACTGTTTTCTGTCTCAAAAAATCACAACAAAATAAGGCTAAATTATGAATATGATTGATAAATAAACATTGATTACATAATATGTGGCGTAAATGATTACATAACATACGAAAACATTCTTCTTGTGGCCTGAATCCGATAAGTTTTGTTTTTTAATAAATTGTTAATATTTTGTAAGCAATGGTATGTTCAGGTGGCGCAACCTCGATTATGATCTTTTTTTCTACCCGAGTGTTACTGAGGAAAAACTCTTTTGAATGAGCATTTGTCATCCAAAATCCCATTAGTTCAGGCATGTGGTATGACACAGTTGATCCGTATTTGCAAGTTTTATCTCGTTCTGTAATTTCTTTGAAATTTTATCTTAAATTTTATATGGAGTATTCAAACAATTAAGGTCTTGAAAATGACGTCAAAAAGGGGGAGGGTTTCTTTTTCCATCATTCTATAACGTTTCGCACCTGGAAAACTGGTATAACCTTATAAATGTTTAAACAGGCTACAGAGAAATAAAATGCACCCGAAGTTCTTGTTTTTAAATGCCGAAAAAGATTCAGAGAGATGCAAAGTTAATGTAGATTTGTAAACAGGGTGTCAGAAGTCAGACACGTCGAAAAGTGACCCTAATTAGTGTGTGGTAGATATTGAACTCCTACAAGCATTACTTATGTGATTTGCTGGCATAATCAAGTGAGGATATATCCCATTGAATAGATACCTTTACAGTATTATATGCATTAAAAGCAGTTGTTCATGACATTCTAAAGTCATATAAGCGAGACGGGTGTAAGTCCTTAAATAACTTCAGGAATCTCATCAAGATAGTACAATTCTCTTTTCTGCTTGAACTTTCAGTAAGGCGTGGCATTCTCGGTTATACATAATTAGCGTCTCTCAAATGGTGACCTAGATTCTCATTGGTTAAAAAATTAATAACATCAGCAACTTTAGACTGTTGTTAACAAACGATGAGATGACATAAGCCACACCTATTTACTGTAAGAAACGATGTAATTGGTTAGTACTTGCGTCACTCATTGGCGTCTGATTCATTTTTATCCCATGTGTATTTCACCTGTGAATGAAAAGCTCTGTAAATTTCACTATTGATGAGCTAATTATCTGGCAACAAATGAGAATGTAGGTCACTATTTGAGAGACGCTAATCATGTATAGCCGAAAATGTCCCGCTTTACTGAAAGTTCAAGCAGAAAAGAGAATTGTACTAAGTGTATGAGGAAGAGGGAGCGGACATTGAAAAACAATGACGTTTTCGGACGTCATGAAACTAAACGGCGACAGCGACGGGTGTTCATATAAGGACTTTTTTATTTTATATTTTATAATAATGTGGCAATGTATTAAATTAAAATTATCAACATTTCTTAAAATATTTATTGTTTATATGTTTTTAATATACTTTATAAGAACAGACTACATAGTATCAATTTTATCACATCAGTCAAGGAAATGTTTGTTAACTCCTCGTATAGTATTCCTCGTAATTCAATAAATATGAGTTTTATTGAACATTAAGTATCAAAGTTGATCAAAAGTTTACTATTAATTGAAATATATCACACTGGTGCTGGTTCTTTTCTATGTTTATTAAGAAAACATTAAACAACTTATTTATGCTTTACTAAATAGATCTATTAAGGAATAAGGCTGAAATAGAAATTCCAATATCTTATCCCCTATCTATTTGACACAGCAAATCATATCTAAAAAAGATTTGGTTAATGCAAATGTTGAACAAAGAAGATCAAAGAAAAAAAATTCAATGTCATCTGAGTGACACAGGTAATCAGGAGCCAATTAGGGGTTGAAAATGAAACATGGTTCTTAGAACCCCTCTTACATTTACATGCAACGTAGCCTTATCAATTTTCTGAGTATAAATGGTGGTGTCCTGTGGATATGCAATAAGCTTTAAGAATTTTCATTTTCACTTTGAGGAGTCGGAAAAAATGTTTCGTTAGAAACGTGATTAGGTAGGAGTTCTTTATTATAATTTTTCAGGTGTGAAAAAATAAAATTAAATACTTTTACATTTATTATGATAAACTGTATGTTACATTATTATTAAACGACCCTCGTATTTAAACTTAGCAGTTTTATACTTCATATGTAGTTATTTTCTTTACAGAAAGCAAAACCTAACTCTGATTTAGAAACTGCGAAATATTACATTATTATTCTAACATTTCAAATTTTCTAGGTCTGGCTCCTGTTCCTCTATTGGGGGTATACTGCGCTTCAAAATCAGCACTTGTCACTATGTCTGAAGTATGGCGTTATGAACTAAAGATGTGGGGAATTAAAGTTGCCACTATCATACCAAGTGGCTACAAAACAGGTAATAAAACAGATCAGTTTGTGAAGCACTCACGTTTATATTGACCCCCCATTCAAAGTTTTCACAAGTTGCATATACCCATGGTGACATGGTACTTTTTTAGATTCAAAAACTATAAACAAAAAATTAACTAGTTCTAATTGTAACAGATGTTCCCCAAACGCTTCCCATACTCCTTTTGGGGAGTTATTCCCTATTAACTTCATAAAAATAAGCAAAACCTTTGTATACACTTAATCAACTTATTTTTCCATAGTATTTTGGGTTACACAATAATGCACATATAGCGTAATGAGAATAATCAAGTAAGATTTAAGTACACGTGCATGATTTAGAAAATTACCATTTACATGTACACCATCTCAAAAAAATGCCATGATAAAGAGTTCCCGTTTAGATTTCAAAGAATTTCACTGAAAATGTAGAAAGTTACAACAACATGAATATTTACCAATCAGAAATCAGCACATGTGCATGCATGTCCTTATATTCATTTCTGATGAGTGAATAGTACTGACAACGCACGAAAAGGCGATTTTTGTAATCTAGAAGATATGTTCTATAATCTCTAACAAGTCTACAGTTCATACCTTTAGTCGTTCTATAGATACGCCGCGGACAAAATTCCATTTAAAAATCAGGAAATTGCCTGTAACATGGAACCAGAAGTGAATTTTTTTCAAAGTTATTCCAAATGTTAAATGGTTTTTAAAACTCATTATCCCTAAAAGTTTGACAAAAAACCACTGAATAGTTCTGAAGCTATCGCGTGCATAATATTTGTCTAAAAAAATATTAAAAATAATTATAATATTTATTATCAATTTCAAACAAATTATATATTATGCATTCTGAAAAGAGTCTCTATTAACCGTACTAATATCATCGAAATATATTGAAAAGCAAAAAAGTTGAAAAATTCAACTGTTTTAATTCGCTTCTGGTAGCGACCGGAAATACTGACGACGCACGAAAAGGCGATTCTGATAATCTAGAAGACATGTTCTATAATCTCTAATAAGTCTCCAGTTCATATCTTTAGTTGTTCTTTATATACGCCGTGGACAAAATTCCATTTGAAAATCAGGAATTTGCCCATAGTTTGGAAACGGAAGTGATTTTTCCAAATTTTCCTTTTGAAGAACAAAGATCATTTTATAACTCATTTTTTGTGAAAGTTTCATTGAAAACTACTGGATAGTTTTTGAGAAATCGCCTGCACAAAATTTGGTCAAAAAAGAATAATAATAACTAGTAGACTAATTGTTCTTGAACAATTAGAGGTCTTTCCACCTTCTTTAAATTTCATATATTTTTCATATTTTACTCTCTAAAGTTAACTTTTATACAAAAAGAATCCATAAATGGCTTGAAAGATAGAAAAAATAAAAAATTAAAATTTTTGAAATGACCTTGACCTTTGACCTTAAACAAATATTCAAGGTAAAAGGTGAAGGGTCACATTGCACTTGACCCCATGCTTCTACGACCTTTAGTTTTAAAGTTATAAGGTTTAATAGTAAGTGTAACGACATTAAAGGGCGATAACTCATATAGGGGGTCATTGGATACTTTCGCACTGAATAGATTGCAGTTGTGTCTAAAGACCCTGAAGACATTAGTGAAGGTTTTGTGCCTCTACGGTTTACGGTTTCGGAGGAGTAGCGATAACAAGGTTTTCAGTAAAAGGGGCAATAACTTTTAAAGGGGTAAATCTTAGGGGATAAGTATGAAATCTTTGAAATAGTTTTAAAAGGACATATTGATGATGCAAAGATATTTAGTATATGTTGAAAGACAAAAGAGATATAAAAAGAGCTGAATTTCTCACATTTTGAATGACCTTGACCTTTGACCTTTGCATATATTTTAAGGTCAATGAATCTTATGCAGTTGGTCCTATGTCTCTACGACTTATCGTTTTGAAAATTTTTAATAATTTGTAAACATCAAAAACTTTCAGGGGCAATAACTCATAAAAGGGGTTGACGAATACTTTCGCAATGAAAACATTGAAGAGTCCCCTCAATTAGTCGAAGACATTGGTGAAGGTTCCATACCTGTATGGTTTACGGTTTCAAAGGAGTAGCGATAACAAGCTATTCTTGCAAAAGGGGCAATAACTTCGTAAGAGGTCATAGGTCAAACATGGGGGGTTGTTTTTCGGAATAACTTTTGATATCCAGTATCATGAACTATAAAGTTTTTCGATAAGTCTTGCGGTTTCAAAAGTCCGGGAATAATAATAATAATAACTAGTAGACTAATTGTTCTTGAACAATTAGAGGTCTTTCCACCTTCTTTAGATTTCTTTTATTTTTATATTTTACTCTCTAAAGTTAATTTTTATACAAAAAGAATCCATAAATAGCTTGAAAGATAGAAAAAATGAAAATTTAAAAAATTTTGAAATGACCTTGACCTTTGACCTTGAACAAATATTCAAGGTCAAAGATCAAGGGTCACATTGCACTTGACCCAATGCTTCTACGACCTTTAGTTTTAAAGTTATAAGGTTTAATAGTAAGCGCAAAGATGTTAAAGGGCGATAACTCATATAAGGGGTCATCGAATACTTTGGCTCTGAATAGATTGAAGTTGTGTCTAAAGACCCTGAAGACATTAGTGAAGGTTTCGTGTCTCTGCAGTTTACGGTTTCGGAGGAGTAGCGATAACAATGTTTTTCGCACAAGGGGCAATAACTTTTAAAAGGGTTAAGCTTAGGGAACAAGAATGAAATCTTTGAAATAGTTTTAAAAGTACATATAAAAGATGCAAAGATATACTGTATATGTTGAAAGACGAAAGAGCTATAAAAAGAACTTTATTTCTCATATTTGGAGTGACTTTGACCTTTGACCTTGACATAATCTTCAAAGTCTAGGGTTAAAAAATCTAATGCAGTTGGTTTCATGTCTCTACGACTTATCGTTTTGAAAATTTTTAATTATTTGTGAACATCAAAAACTTTCAGGGGCAATAACTCATAAAAGGGGTTGACGAATACTTTCGCAATGAAAACATTGAAGAGTCCCCTCAATTAGTCGAAGACATTGGTGAAGGTTTCGTACCTCTATGGTTTACGGTTTCGAAGGAGTAGCGATAACAAGCTATTCTTGCAAAAGGGGCAATAACTTCGTAAGAGGTCAAAGTTCAAACATGGGGGGGTCGTTTTTCGAAATAACTTTTAATATCCAGTATTATGAACTATAAAGTTTTTCGTTAAGTCTTGCGGTTTCAAAAGTCCGGGAAGAAAAAAAAAAAATACTAGGAGACTAATTGTTCAGAGAACAATTAGAGGCCTTTCCACCTTTTTTAGTGTTTCCGTGTCATTTGGGTTGAAAAAAAGGAGAAAAATGCAAAAAAAAAAAAAAAAAAAAAAAAAAAAAAATGCTCCTCCAGCTGGGCTCGAACTCAAAACCCTTGGGTTGAAAGGCAGGTGCGCTAACCATTCGGCCACGCATTCCGATATCATATGTATGTTAATTGTTTAAGACTATAGAAGAAATGCAAGCGTATTTTTAGAATCGGTAGGGGAAGAAAGAAGTTCCGTAAAAGGAAATAGTTCCTGAACTTGCAAGCAGTATATAAAATAACAAGGGAGGGGCTGCGTGAGAAAACGTTAACACTGTTCCCTAATGAAAATGTATTACTGGACTGTAGCCCGATTCATCGATATTGTGAGCATGCTGAATTTTTTGTAAATAGCTTTGTTGTAAGCTTAAAAGATCGGGTTCGGATTTTAACATTTCTGTCTGAATATCCTGAAATAAATACGAAACATTTAAATAAGCATTTCTTTGGGTTAAATTAAATATGTGTAGCACAAATTAAACTCCCAACATGCATTTTTAGAAGGGAAACACGACAATGAAAGCGAGAATTGTTTTTTTTATATACCGAAAATCGCTATTTCTGGAAACTGATTAATTCTAAATAAAAATCAAATAAATTCCAAATGTAAAAGAAAGAGAGAATGCTTGGTATTAAAATGTCGTATCATATCAGGAGAATTAAATGCTACTAAAGACATCTGAAGAAATAGCCGATAAAAGGTTTAGATCATTTCTTCGTTCACCTGCACTTAAATTTCAAACACAACAGAACTTGTAGTTTTTGCCGTGAAACTTCATGACTTCTATAAACTTATAAGACTCACCGTAAAACTCTCCAGAAAGTTTCTCTGAGGTCTATACTACATTTGTACCAAATTTGGTGTCGATCCGAGGTCTGGTTTGAATTCTAGATTAATATTCTACATTGTTGTTGATGTGATTTTTTTTTTTAAGAAGGGGGGGGGGGAATTATTTATTTTATGCCTCTTTTAAACTAAGAATTGTAACTACTTCCACATCCTTAAGCCTTATTGTGACCTTTGAGTCAAGGCCAAAGGTAAAAGGTCAAGGTCAAAGGTCAAGGTCATTCAAAAAAAAAAAAAAAACAAAAAAAACAAAAAAAAAACAAGAAATCTTTACTTTCTGTATTTTTACCTGATACTGGAGCTGGATGCATGTCCTAACTTTCCTATTTGACCCAATGTCAAGGTCAAAGGTCAAGGTCAAAGTTCAAGGTCATTTGGTGAATTGCTATATTTTACACATATATAAGGGATTTCTTATGTTTTTAAATGACCTTGACCTTTGACCTTGACCTATATTTCAAGGTCAAAGGTCAAATATGCCGATGCAGTTGGTCCCATGTCTCTAGGATACACCGTTTTAAAAATAAGTTCATTAAATGTAAGTAGCGTAAACTTTCAGGGGCAGTAACTCATACAAGGGACCAAAGAATGCTTTCGCAATGATAGAATGAAGAGAGTACTAAATGAGTCAAAGACACTGATGAAGGTTTGGAATCTCTATGGTTTACGGTTTCGGAGGAGTAGCGATAACAAGGTTTTGTTGCAAAAGGGGTGACAACTTTTGAATGGGTCAAGCTCGGGGAACAAGAATGAAATCTCTGAAATAGTTTTAGAAGGACATATTATAGATGCAAAGATA